TATATATTGTTTAAAATGTTTGTTTGCAAGATGGTGAATACTAAAATGAACAAATGTATCAAAATGTATAATGTTTGTAGGTTTTTAACTTACCCACTCCAAGAATTCTGCAGTTTATACTCATGGCATCAATAACAGCATCTGTACACATCTTCAGGATCAACTCGATTCTAGCTTCATAGGTTTTTGGGTTTGCCTGCGTGTATTTCTTCACTATCGACCCCTAACACAAAGATAATATAAACCTCTGAGAAATTATTTAAGAAAGCTGGAAGAAATTAGACCAAACCAAGTCAGAAATAAATGCTGAAAAGTTTACAGCATCATTGTGAATTGTCATAAAACATTGTTTTAAATGCATATCCACCTTTTGATTAGTTTAATTAAATTTCTGAAAATTCAATTATTTTTATTATAAAGACTTGATTTAATAAGACAGAAAATCATAATGTTAAATTATCTTAAAAGAAAAAGACTTCAAAGTCATGTTCTAATAGAAAAAATAGTATACATTTTAATTAAATACTTTAAAGAACTATTCCAATAATTTATTTTTTCATTACAATTAAAAGTCACCTGCATGCCAAGAGGCAATTCAAATTCCCAAGGAAAAACATTTTACTACTCCATTAAAGCTTATATGGTAAATAGATTTCTTGGTTCAGTTTATCAATGCAATAAACTAAGGAAACAATATACAATGGTCAGTCACACCCTAACAGTCTGCAAACTAGGCATCAATTAACACAGATCTCACAAATGCTTGAGGGACAGCAGTGCACTGAATCTAGGAGGCCTGCAAGAAGTTTGAACTGGTCTGCTGTGGATGTTCCTGTTGAACAACACTATTACTTATGTCACTCCAGCCTAGCTTTTTTCCTTCTGCTTTGTATCACTGTCCTTCTGAAAATAATCGTTTGTCGGAGTTTTAGATCTGAATCACGTTTTCTTCCAAGATTTGCCAGTACAGTTAATCTATGTTCCCATCAGCCTCGACAAACTTCCCAGTCCCTGCTCATAAGAAACAGAATTATAATATAAAGCTGCCACCACCATCCTCGACAGTAGTGCTGACTGAGTGATGCACTATGCTAGGTTTACATCAGATGCAGCACTTTGCATTTACACCAGGACATTCCAATTTTGTGTTGTCCGATTACAAAACCTTGCCATGTTTGCCTTATCAGTTAGGTGCTTTGTTGCTAACCCCACACGGGATGTGTACTTCAGTTCATGCGAGATATCTGTTTCCCTATGGACATTTTCTCCCATCTCAGAGAGATGTATTTATTCTGAAAAAAACTTTTTTGCACAAAGACGACACACTCGTTTGTGTCACTCATTAAAGTAATTTTGTGAACCCAACAATTTATTTTAAAGATTTGAATACTTGCTTGACAAAACTTTTAATTAGAAGAAAACCAGAAATCACTTGATTCTTTCTCTTTATTTTTTGCTTTGAATGTATGAAGTAGATTGGGCATGCAACAGATTTTTAAAAGTTACTTCGAAGTATTATGACTGCAAAGTATAAAGCTAGAATGTGAAAACTGCATAAGGGTCTGAGTACATTTGCAAAGCATTGTATATATACACAGTATCTTCTCTATTTACTTTGTGTGACATTCCTTATACCTAAAATGACCAAAGCTGCACAATTAGAATTCTATCCTCAAGTTTTCAGAACATTGACATAACCCTGTCTATTAAAAATAAAATATATGAACCTAATCTTTTTTTATTACAAGGGTTACAGCAGTAATCTGAAATTAGAGGGACAAAAACTGCAAACATGTTATTCTAAACTTCTTAAAGCAGAGAGATGAAGACTTTGCCCATACTTTCATGCTGACTATGGCCACTCGGAGGTTGGTGCCCCCCAGATCCACGGACAGGGCGCTCTGCGTCTCCAGGATGTGGTCAATGTCCTGAGAAATGCAATCCTTCACTGGTGGGAAACAGAATGTCTTCTGCAATGGTTCATCCAGGTCAATAGTTTTCAAAAACTTCAGGATCCGGGTAACTGCATTGCCATCTCCATATATCTTTGAGCTGAGAGACACAGCAGAATATTCATGTTGGTAATAAGCAGTGCTCTGAGATGCGTTTATGATGAGTCCACAAAATTAGTATCATTCTTTTTCATCATTTTAATTAAATGGATGAAAGATTTTACACCCCAGAGTTTTAGTCGTTTCTCTCCCTACTATTTTAAATTCCAATGAGAGAGAATGTCTCATTCTTTACTTCATTCTTTTTTAATTTTGTTACTTATCATTATTTTGGGATTTGTCTGCATTACACCCATGAGTGAGCAAATTATACTTTTATAACAAACATCCTTTGAATAGCATGTATACCTTAAATTAATCATTCATACAACAAAACATGAGACTTGAATAATCCTCGATATTCTAAAGGGTAGGCATTGATATAGCACTTAAGAACACAAGTAAAGGTTACAAACGAGAGGAGGCAAATGTAATTCTTAACTTTTTAAATTCCCCATCTCTGGAAAACTTAGCTAGCAAGTAATTATTTATTTCAAGTCTTTTTTTAAACATTTAAACTAAAAATATATTTCAGAAACATAAAAGAACAATATAAGAGGAAAGAACAAGAAAAACCTCTTGCCAAAGAGGAAACAGGAGGACTTGTGTATGTATCTAAATAAATTGCTCTGTCTTGCAGCAGGGCTCCGATTTCCTAGATTATAATGCGGCTGCCAGAGAACTTGCCACAAAAGTGTACAATCAGCAGGGAGGTCTGTATTCAAACTGAATTAAGTACCCTTGGCCTGAATTGCTGATGAAGATATCGGTGGTGCAGCTCAGGAGCCTGAGCAAGTCCCTATTGGAGGGTGATGACGAGCCATCTTCCAGTCACTTCCAGGAGAGAAGTGTTCTGATACCAAACAGTTTCACAGCCACAGCCTGCTGGAGGATGCCTTAACAGCACCTGTGTCCCATGTTCTGTTTATATAAGGGGGAAGACATGGGCAAGCAACAAGAAGGCTTTCTGGCAGACAGCAGTCTAATTCTATTGTGACAGCAGTATAGATTTTCTCCAC